GCAAGAAAAGAACCAAGCTCAGAGAACCCCAAGGACTCCACAGTTCAACCCTGAGCTACACATATTCACCTCTATTGGTAGGCTTAGTTTGTATTAATCACACTACTGCATATCCTGAGGTTTCAAATTCCAAAACCTGACACCAAATTTGTAATTTTTCCCTTCAGTCCCATTAAAAATTACAAATACTTACAAAATAATATTAAATACATTTAATTCCATTTTAATTGAATTCAAATGTAATTAAATTTACATTTTGTCCTAGCTCTATCTTTTCTGTTTTACCGTAGCACCTGACTTAATACTCCAAAGTAGTGCAGAAAGTTTCAAATCCTTACACTAAACTGAATTTCTATATTGGTTGTCTTAATACAATTTTTTTTAAAATTAAATAAGTTTCTTAACTTTGGTTTTTTAAAATAAATGTAAGAACTCCTGTCCAGAATAGTCTTTTTTCCCCAAGACTAAACCTTATATATGTAGCATTTTTTTCATTTGCCTTAGGACACAGGAGTTTTGTTTTGTTTTTTTTCATTTCCCCTAGGATACCATATTCGTTTTGTTTAACAAACCCTTAACACTTAGTACTGTTGATACGTGTCAAATCATTTTAAAAATAGAAAGACCACATTCAAGTATCTTTCTTATATCATGAACTTTCCCAATAACTGTAGCAATTCTATAGCGTTCAAATATACTGCAATACATAAGTGATTCAGATCTTGGGATAATGAAGCCATAACATTTTGTCACCCCAATGTGCTAGGCAGGCAGCATCCATAATCTTTGAACAGCATGGCCTAATTGTCTGGAGATGCTGAGTTCTAGTTCAACATGCCTGGAGGGTATCAGGTTGAAAAAGGCTGGATTTGGAGATATTCCTCCCCAAAATGTCCACCATAAAGAGTTAGGTTCTTTTATGAAGAATCAGCTACACTGATGGGGACAAATGAACTGATGAGGAACAAATGAACAAAAACCAGTGGTAGTTATACCTGTGTTCTGATATTACAGATTTTCCCAACTTAGTGCCCTCCCAGAATTGCCAGCCAGCCAAACTGATGCCAATACACTGCTGATATCAAAGACTTAAAGCAAGATCTGTATCATGCCATTTTCAAAACAAAATAGCAGTGAATGCTTTGACGTGTGTGGACTTCTCTTCCAGTGTCTTTATACTTACTAGCTGGTGAGACATTCTTTCAGAAGTTTGTTTTCCTTTCGGCACTTCACCACCATAAGAAAACCTGTCTCTTTACAACATTTGGTAAAGTCTGGAAAAAACAAATAGTTGCAAAGTGGTTATGCTGGAATAAAGGAACAGGATCATGTATGCTCACAATGATGATCCTTACTTTTGACTGGTGCTTCAAGTATTCATTCAGAGTAGGGAACTTTACTTCGGAAAAAGCTACAGTAGTCAAACTATAAAAATGTCACTCATTTTAAAGGAAGTGCTATAGTAAAGTGCTATATTTGTATAGTATCTCTTGAATGCTGAGGCTGGAGACGAGCAAGGAATAATGAAGTTCTTGCCAGTTTCTGGCAGTAAAACAATAAGGTATGCTATTTCTTTTAGCTAAACCATTCAGAACAACAACAGTCCTCTAATGCAGCCTGGTTTTTTTAATGGAAAATTGTCTCTGCTCAGTGGTGTAATGTCATGATAGTTCTACCTTTTTCTGGCACTGGGTACTGAAAATGCACTGAAGCAATGAGCATGAAACTGAGCAAACTCAGGGAGGCAGTGAAGGACAGGAAGGCCTTGCGCAATATGGTTCATGGGGTCACGAAGAGTCAGACACGACTTAACGACTGAAAATTACATACATGGAAGGAAGGAAAGAAGGGACGAGTGAACCATGGCTATAAAATGGTTGTCAGCCCTGTTTTATGGCTCTTGAGAGGCTACTGTTTAGAGAAACTATTGGGCTACAGAGAAAGTCTAATATTGGCACTTTTAGCATCCTTCATCTGCAACCTGTAAAAAGCATAAAGGGGTTCCCTTTATCCTGTTACCCACCAGTAAGTGAAAGTTGCCAGCTTCCCCTCTGGCCAGTCAGAAACACAGCAGGATATGTACAATTCAATGATTCACGTAACACATTAGATCTGATTAAAAACCTATCCAATCCAACTTTCTGCATCCTCTCCCTACCACTACTGGAAACTGGTAGTAGACATACTATCTCTGACCTTGGAAATAATATGGGCTGGATTCACATTTCACACTGGCCATAAACTTATTTGCTTTGACTAAATAAAATGTGCAAAGCTGGTCTTTATGGTTTAGTGTTATGTATGAATTTATCTGTGGTTTGTGCTGGTTTAGACTAATGTGTGAGCAGAGCCATAAGCTTATAATCTAAAACTGATTCAAGGGCATCCATCAATTATCAAATTGGGGTCTAATCTTTTAAAGATGCACTGGTTCACCCCCTCCTCAAGAAGCCATCGCTGGATCCCACCATACTGGACAATTTTCTCCAGTGTCCAACCTTCCCTTTTTAGAGATGATTATAAAGAAGGTGGTCACACAAAAGCTTCAGAGGATCCTGGATGATGCAGATTATGGGGACCCCTTTCAGTCAGGATTCAGGCCCAGGTACAGAACAGAAATGGCACTGGTCATGCTCTTCGATGACCTCTGGCAGGAGCAGGATTGGGGTACTGCATCTATTCTTGAGATCATCTGTCACCATGGGGTGAGGTATCATCAGCATGCTGATGACACCAACTTGTATATATCTGCCCCAGCATCAGCTAAGTGATGCTGTGAATGTCTTTCTTGGTGCCTGGAGGCTGTGCAGGTCTGGATGAAGAACAACAGGCTTCAGCTAAACCCTGGCAAGATTGAGTCACTTTGGATTTTGGGGACTTCTGTATCTGGGGATTCACCATCTTTGGTGCTAGATGTGCTTGCACTTCTCTAAACAGACCCAGTGTACAATCTGGGGTCCTTCTGGACTCATGACTCCTGCTGAAAGAGCAGGTAGCAGACATGGCCAGGAGGGCCTTTGCACAGCTTCATCTTCTGCACCAGTTGTGCCCATTCCTGGATTGGGAGGCCCTATTCTCAGTTATTCTTGCCCTAGTCAACTCCCAAATGGATTACTGTAATGTGCTGTACATGGGGCTGCCCTTGAAGAGTATCCAGAAGCTTCAGCTGGTGTGAAATGCAGTGCAGGGATATGTGTGCTCCAAGAACTACACACATTACACCTCTGCTTCACAAGCTGTATTGGTTGCCAGTTTGCTTCTGAGTACTGATTATGACCTTTAAAGCCCTACATGGTTTGGGACCAGGTTATTTGAGGGACCACCTCTCCCTGGTTACATCTACCTGTCCCACCAGGAGAGGCAGGTTGCAGGTCCCATTGGCCAGAGCATTTCATTGAGTGGGACGTAGGAGGAAAGCCTTTTCTGCCATAGCTGCACCCTGTGGAACATCATTCCCCCCAAAGTGAGGCTGGCCCCAACTTTTCAGCCTTCTGGAAGGCCCTTAAAACATGGTTTTGTCAACTGGCTTGGGGACCCCATGATAGAATGGACCCTGTTAGATGATTATATGATAGTTAATTGGAATGCACTCTCTCGTATGTTTTTTTCACTATCTAGTTTTTACCTTTTTAATTTAATTTAGTTGTATTTTAATGGGTTTTTTAATGTATTTGAACTGTTTTGTTATGTATGCTGTCCAGAGTCACTATGTGAGATGGGAGGCTATATAAATGTGACAAATAAATAAAAATATTTTATGCAAAAGAGAAAACCCATGGCTGAAATTATTTGATGTAATTCTATTCTTCTTGCTTAGAACTGCTGCCTCTTGCTTGATCTTTCATAACTCATACCTATGTTTTCTTTTTTTAATGTCTTGGAAGGGCAAATAATATCCAAAAAGGTAGCAAGGCCATCTTGAATCTCGGAGCTATTGCCTGTTCTCTATCCTCTCTGCTATTCCATTTTGGGTCCTATCTTTTAAATGTAAACTTGAGAGGGTGGACTGTCTCATTACTGTACTAATCTCTGTAAGATGCAGAAGAGTAGTTTTAGATGTAGAGCAGATTTTTTTTCTCTCTCAATCAATGTGGGTAGATCATTCTCAAGGAAGAATGATCTGAAGTTCTTCCTAAAGGTATAAAGTGGGACACATTGCATAACAGGGTTGCACAACTGTTTGGGATTCAATTCTGAAAAGCTTGGAAGCATGCAGGAATGTGAACATTCATTCATTCATTCATTAGATCTGTATGGTCGCCCATCTTAGAGCACAATTCTGGGCAGTTCATAACAACACAGCATGTGTCTGCAACTCTTTAAAGCAGACTTGTGTTTTCATACAATCATGTGGTTGCTGGAGCTGCTTTACCTAAAGCACCCTAAGTTCATGACCCTAAATGTTTAAAGCATTTGGAGGGTACTGAATCCAAAACATTGCATAACCCTGCTATATCAGGAACAAGCTTCTTATCTAGTTAGGCAAATCTTCCCCAGTCTCATGGCCTCCAGAAGTAATGGGATCAGACTACAATTCCTTTATTTCAGTGGGGTTATATAGTTGAAGAAATCTTACAAGCAGTGGACTAGAAGTCTTGGCTAAGCTTCTAATTTAAAAGCAGTTTTATACATCTATATGTTTTTCAAACAAGCATCTTTGTTCGTTTTAACGGAGATCTGTACTATAGCATAAAATGTTTACAACAGCTTCTCAGTGAAGTATGCACAAGTACACAGTAGCATTAAAACAGAATTACTGCAAGCTGTATTATTTTGCATTAGCCAAATTTTATTTACCACTGCCTACCAAAAGCACACTTAACCAATACAAAACTATTATTTTGTAGTTATGGATCTTCCTCGCAGACCTACTTGCTTCCTAGCCAATTAAAAATATTATTTATCCTAGAATATAAATCTGCCTATGCATAGTTTATTTTATGAAAAGGAACCAACTGCTCTTTTGTCAAAAAGGCTTAATGTAAAAACAGAATTACTATGGAAAAATACAAATCACAAACCAAAAGTAAGTAAAATAAACCGTAACCTTTTCTTGTGCTGTCTTCTGAGGAGAAGCACAATAGTAGGAAATAAATTCTTTACAAGAACTACTGATAGCATTTTAAAATCCTAAGCATAGTATTATAATCCCTTACAGTGTTCCCAAATTTGCTGAATTAAGCATACTGTCCTCAGCCATCCCCTACAGCATATACAGTCTTGAACAGATCATCTTGGAGGAAAAGGAAACAATTTAATCTTCTCACCCTCTTTCATTTCTTACAGAAGAGGTCTGGAATATTTTCAGGTCTTTAGTATCGGGGAACATTACAAAATTTTATTTGTAATAAATTGTGAAATTTCCAAAGGTTGTTGAAACTTGGCAGGATTAAAGTCTTTTTAAAAAGTCAACCATCTTGCTATTTTCATCAAATTTTGCCAACATCAACAACAAACAGCTGCAGGTATTTGCTTTCCTACTATAGCCTATGATTTTTTTTTAAAAAAACCCAAATCTCAAGGTGCCCAAATCATGTACCCATATCGAATTCTGTTCAATTCTGAATTTCCAATTTGAGTCATATTGGAGCTGATTTGCATAGGCCCACAAAATGATTCTTAGTGGGGGAAGTATTTCGATTTTCTCACTCAATGATCCATTCTGATCTACAAGCTTAGCCCCTCCTGGCCTGCTGCCTCAAGCTTTTTGTAAGGTCTTTCTCGCTTGTTTAGCAACAAGGTTGTAATTAGGATTTTCTCATCACACTGGGTAACAAATTAACACTGCTCATACTTGACTTTATCTTCAATACTATTCAACTATTTATGAAACGGTATTCCTCTCTAACAAATCCAAGAGTGAAAACTTTCTCCCTTTCATACTGCTTTCAACAAGTCAGAGCCCGTGTGATGACACTGCTGGCCTTTGCGCAGCATTCTATATTGCTGCTTCTGATGGCCCACTTCATAAAGTCTGTTTCCTTTTGCAGTCAAAAAGCCAGTGAAACTTCAAACTGTGCAGAAAGTATGCAACGTATATTTGGTCACACATGCAAATACTCTTTGAGGGAATCCAGAATATGAACGGCTCTTGCATGGTAGACATGACAGCGCTGCTGTCATGCAGATGTGTGCAAGAATTGTCCCATCACACATCAGGCTGCAAGCATGTTCTTCTTTATTCTTAGAAGATTTCTTAAAGGGGAACTTGCATATGCTAACCTCCTAAGAGAACTGTAGTCATATTAAAAAATGAATCACACTTCCTTTACAA